AATGCCGCCTGCCTCGGCCTCAGAAGCGGTCGAGGACGTGGCGTAATGCCGCCTGCCTCGGCCAGCAGCGGTCGGAGGCGGTGTGTAATGCCGCCTGCCTCGGCTTCACAGCGGTAGGAGGACGTGTATAATGCCGCCTGCCTGGTCCACAGAAGCGGTCGGAGGACGCTGTGTAATGCCGCCTGCCTGGTCCACAGAGGCGGTCGGAGGACGCTGTGTAATGCCGCCTGCCTGGTCCACAGAGCGGTCGGGGGACGGGCGGGCGCCCGGCCAGGTGCTGTATGAGAACCTCTGCATGAAGGCCGTCAACCAGTCGATCGGCCGCGCCATCCGCCACCGGTGAGCGCCTGTTTGACGCCTCCTAGCGCCAAACAGGTGCAGACGGCGCCTGTGGGACGCTAGGAGGGACGCGCGCGATGTGAGCGAGGGACTGACATATTGTGTACTGGCGCGTGATGGCTACCTGAAGTCACACGCGCCTTATGGAGTTTGCGTGAAATAACGTGAATGAGAAAAGTCGTGAACTTTTGTGTTTGAACTTCATCAGTGCAAGCAATGTCCTTGCACTTGTTCTTTGATCGATGTGCTGTCCTTTCACTTTTCTTCGCGATTCGGTGCCGCCTATTCGTGTATAAATGGACGTTTGTGTCACGGTGTGATCGTGGTCGCAGGAACGACTACGCCTGTGTGGTGCTGTGCGACGCGCGATACGGCAGGGCCAGCGTGGCGGGGGCCTGCCGGAGTGGATCCGCAGGGGGCTGCAGCACCACGGCCGCTTCGGGCCCGCCTTCGGCCAGATCAGACAGGTCAGGTCACCGGTCGCTGGTGGGCAAAGGTCGGCTGGCTGTCCGAGGTTAGGTCAGCGGACTCACGGTGGTATGAGGTCGAGGTCAGGTCGGCCGTCAGGGTGGTGTGAGGTCACGGGGTCAGGTCAGATGGCGGTCAGGGTCAGCCAGTCGACTGACACTCAGGGCCAGGTCAGGCACTGTGTTCAGTTCAGTTGACTGGACGAGGCCGGTAATTTTCAGCTTCAGGTCAGCTGACCATCAAGGTCACGTCAAACGATTTTAGGGAGTGATCGCATGGCAGCCAGGGCCAGCTCATGGCAGCGGGGCAGTTTCCTAGTCATATGTCGGCTTCAGTAGCCTACCCAACTTAAATAAAAGAACGGGTGAAATCCGGGGAGGAACGCGTTTTTAATTTGGAGGGGAGGCGGGTTTAGCACTTGTCCTTGCTCAACCTCCCAACTTATTGGGAAGGTACGCCCCTAGCACCCATAACTGTGGTCGGTCGGGCTGGCCGTCGGGTCTTGAGACAGCTTTTGGGGCGGGTCATCCGGCGGCCAGCCAGCTGTCAGAATCTGATCACCTGTTGTGCTCACATTACACATATCTGTTCAGTGCGAGCTGCCAGGGTCAGGCCAGGCAGTTGGTCCCACGTGCAGGGCCGATGGAGCGGATCAGCTGGTTGACCTGTGACCTGCGCTCATAGGACCGGACCTGTCAGTGCTGACGTTGATCGGGGTGTGGTGTGGTGGTGGGGGGGGGGGGGGGGGGGGAAGGGGCCTACCAAGACAGGCCAAGCAGCCCCCCCGAGGCCGGTCCGTGGGACTGTTTGCGACGCCTCCCCCCCCCCAAATGATGTACAGCAGTGGGATCGCAGCGTCGCGATTCAGATTGTGCGTTGTAAATGTTATGTTTCGTACTGGCGTTTAGTTTCACGTGCATGGTTATGTGCGTCTGGTGCAACCACCGACGAGTCTGTCACGCTGGTTGTGGAGAAGGGACGCAAAACACACCTGTTGTTGAGCTCTATCCACAACCTAGCGATTGAGTCAGGCATGCTCGTTACACAGGACCGGACGCGATGTCCGCAGTTTCGCCGGAATTGAACTGGCGTGTGATGCTTACAAAGCGTGCGTGGTTCTAAACAGGTCATACATTTGTTTTTTCAGTTCTTCACGACCATGCAAGAGAAGTTTCGATCTTCATGAAACAAGTGGGAATTGACAACGTTTAGGGAACATTTCTCTCTCGTGTAACCGAACGGCACAACGTTTGCCAGCGGGAATAGGCACTTTTCGTCGCATCTTCTCCAAGTAACCCCTATGTCAATATGTGCAACGGCTGAGTTTGCCTGTGGCGCTGAGCGGATATGTGAATGCTATAGCCTGTGGAGTGAAAAGGACGTGTATTCACGGATAATTTTTATTTTTTAGGCATAGTTCATGTTGGCAAAGATCAATACATTGGTGCGCGTGAACATCAGACATTTAAGTACTCACCACTCCCAAACCCCATGTGCGTTTTCAGTCATTCGTGTTTCGGCGAGGAGTCGAAGGCGGCGGAAACGCGTGTTGCTGTATTTCTCGGCGACCAGAAACCACGCTGCCAGTCCCAACCACAGCTTGGGTGGCAGACGCAGCTGGGTTCGATTTCCACCTAGGGTGTAGCTGTTCCCAACAGAGGGAAGCTCGTACCTCATATTATTAATACGTGTCTAGTTGTTGTGCTCACATGTTTTATTGGTATATTCACGTGTCATGTACGTGATATTCTGACTACTAAACATGCGTTGTCAGTTGTAGCCCCTTTGTAGTGGTATTACACGGTATCTAAGAAATCATCGGCGTTGTAGCTGACAGGCTGGGCCCCAGCTGACAAAAAAGTGACACCAGAGCATGCGTCCAAAAAATTTCAAAAATTCAAAGATTGCCAAGCGCAGGGTGCTATGCTTTCCTTCTCAGTCTTCTCTGCGTATAAAAGCAGGGCTTTATGCATAATAGAACGCTTATTCGTATATTTGACAATAGGTGGATAAGCAGACTTGTAAGACATCTGGAGATTACAATATGAAGTGGCGACCACGACCGGCTGGACACGACACGGCGGTCATCGCAGCACGAGTCATTCCGTCACCTGTGCATACACAACACCAACAAGCATGGACCGGGGGTGGGCGGCCTCGGCGGTCGCGTAATTGACATCCGTTCAGCATCACCCGCATCAGCTCACATTTCGTGCTAATGGCCACCAAACGCAGGCACGCAGGAAGAGGTGTGCAGTTTTCTATTTCGTTTGCAGGAATGAGACTACAGTCCTACCATCCGCGCGGAGAAAGCTGTCAGTCCTATTCGTAGAGAGCCGTCCATGTGTACACCGAGCCGGGTTTGGCGATAGTTTCCTGCTTCCTCCGCCCCCCCCCCCCCCCCCAGCGAATTTCGCGGACCCAACCCTACACGGGAATGTACACAAACGAGATCAACCCAGCCCACTGTCGTACATGGGGTTCCTAGGCCACGATATTCTCGCCCCACCAATATTTCGCCTCTGCTTCCATCCCTGATGCCAAGCTCGATAGCGCAAAGCAGATAACGCGACATCGAAACGTTTGTTTCTCTGCGCCGAATACATCAAAGCAAAAAAGCCTGCCACGCTAGGCAAAGTGCTGTCGTTCTCGTTACCGTGACGAGCATATGGCAAATGTTTTTCCGTCGCTAGCTGTTGTGGGACGAATTCACGACGAAGACACATTCTCTGTATAAGTACAGAAAACCCATGCCGCACATTGACGGCCCGCCCTGTCATTTCAATAACTACCGCAAAGGAACAAGGGCAGGGGGGGGAATGACACCTCAACATGCAACATACAACGTGAATGACCTGCTGTCCTCCCAGTGAGTCGCGTAGCGGAATCTGGGGCCGGCGTCTTCACCACATCACTTCAGCGCTTCACGTGGTTGGCACCGACACAACGTCCGCGCATTGCCAGCCCCGCCCGCAAAACGCACGTGCCCCTGACTGGCGCGGGAATCACGTGATCTGTGGCGATGGCATCCGCGGTGGCTGCAGCGGCGGGCCTAAGTCGAGCTTGTTGGCCCGGGTTCTTGGGCCATGCCCGTAGATGTTCAGCTTGATTCTGAAAACACGCCGGTCGACGGGAGATGTCAGCTCGCTGTCAGTCGTCGGTGAAGGAGCACGCGGACGGGGCATTGTGTTCCCAGGAGGCGGACCACAAGTGATGACGTGAGAGGTGCGTCCGTGCGGCCCAGCCAACGCCGACGCGGCTCAATGCATGGCTTTACAGCGCGGACAGGGAGATGACCGGGGCTGCCGATCCAACATCCACGGTCCACGTTGGGCCTAACCAGGGAGCGGGTCAACGACGCCGGGCAGTCCGCGATCTTTGCCAGTGGTCATCGCTTCCCGCCGCCACCTGCCACCACGCAGGGTGACCCACAGACAACGGCCGACCGCCGTCGGGGCAAGCACACGTGGTTCGGCAACCGCGTCGCGTGTCGACAACCGCACGGCTGGGTTCTCCCCGCCTCTGTACCCACCACGGCGCGACGCCGCTTCCCGCGGTCCCCTGCCCATCGTCCCCGCCACGGACAGCCGCCTCCGTCTCCTCTCCAGCCTCCATCACGAGCCATCTCCTGCAGGCCCCCACCGGGTCCTTATCACCGCTCCCCAGAGCAGTCCGTCTCCACCCCCGCCCCCGCCCCCTCCGTCGGCGGCCGCCGAGCAGACTGACCTGGTGCTGCTCCCAGGCGTGCTGTTTGACGGCCAGGCCGCAGCCGTACACGGCCCGGCACGCCGGGCACGGGTAGCCCAGCTGGCCGGCCGGGTTGTGCGCCGGCAGCGGCGCCACGTGCAGCCCGTGCGCCGCGTGCTCGTGGTTGAGCAGCTTGCGGCGCTCCTCGCTGCGGTGGCTGCAGGCCGAGCACTGGTAGCGCAGCTGGAGCGTGTGCACGCGCCGCGTGTGGATCTCCAGCTCCGCCCGCCGGAAGAACCTGCCGGCCGCGCGCCACGTGGGAGCGAGCGGGAGCTGGGGCGCGCCGGAGGAGCTCGACGTGCCGAGTAAGCGGCGGCACGCTGGTTACCGGTGATATTGTGCACGGCTCCTTCAGGCCTGTAATTAACGTGCTAATAGCCCTCCTGGTTTGATCAGGAACAGTGATGACGACTCTTAATGTTCCAGTTATTGCCATTTTTGGATCCTTCGTCACCAGAGTACGCTTAAGCTAGCTTCTTTACTCAATGGTTCTTTGGATACCTACTCGAGAACTACCCCGCGACAACGTTGGCCATGGTGACGATCTGGACTGGGATGGCGGATGGTGACATGAAACAAGCGTATTCCCCAAGCGTAAAGCGTAACAGGCAACCAAAACCCAGTTTTTAACACTGCAGCAAGCACGACTGCCCAAACTCCGTCCCGCTCTTAGCACTGCAGAAACTACGGGCCGGCCGCGCCACTCACTTGAGCCCGCACTCCTCGCAGACGAAGTCGTACTGGCCGTGCTCCTCGGCGCGGTGCTTGTCTCGCTTCCAGAGCGAGGCGAACCCCTCCGGACAGAGGCCGCACGGCACGGTCTGCTGGTGGAAAGCTGCGCACGTGGCGCAGCAGGCCGCGCTGGTGCAGGAACGTCCGGCCGCAAAGGGGCTGCGGGGGCGGGGGGAGGGGGGAGGTCAGTAGAGCGTGCGCCGGCCAGCCCAGCTGCGGGACGCCGGCGATGGGCGCTGGGTTTGGCTGGATCGGCCGTAATCTGGTACAGAGCCGACTGGCAGACAAGGCACAGGGGATCGCGAGATCCCAGTCTTCCGCGCCTAGCATGTTGCCACGTTACGCACTTACCACGTACGCACGTCCACCAGCATGCTACATGTGTGCTTATGTCCGCGCCCTAACGTTCAAATCTAGTTGAACATGTCACATTTTGCCTTAAAATAGTGAAACGTCTTTAATGCTACCGTGCATACTTTCGTGAATTAGCATTTAAGCTTACACATGACAAAAAGCGTGTCGTCACATACGATAATTCCGGATACCCACAGTTCACATCTTTCAAAAACAGGATTAATAACAAGCATCTTTTCACAATTTCACGACATACATCACAGCGGCGTACCGCCTACCCAGGCCAAATTAAGACACTAGTTGGAAAAAGACATGAGAGCCAGGGCGTTGCGCAGGCCCAACGACAATTCGAGAGGTCATACAGGCACGGGGCGAGACGTCGTCGCACAAGGCTCTGTCTTGGCGGTCAAACCAAACTCCAGCCGAAATCTTCACGAAAACCTTATCCGAACCAAAAGCAAAACGCATTCTAAAAATGCAGTGGTATCAAGAGTGGTTAACCCTATATTAATTTACCAATCCTCAACCAGTTTTGAGCCTATGCAACATGCATCAATGATGGCCAGTGATGAGCAGCAGCAGTATCCATTTTCAGCAAACAACGAGATCAGCTAAGCGAAATATGGATCTTACCTCAGTACAAATGAACTCCTTGTCCATGAAGTGTTTGACCTGTAGGTGAGACTGGTAGTGCTTTTTCTGAAACTTGTGGTACTGTTTTCCACAGAACCTCGCACGTAAGGAGAGTGTTGGGATCTGCAAGCTTGTGGACCGCTTCCTGACAAAAAACGCGAGACATTCCTTGTGAACGCCGACACGCGACACTACACACGTCAACTCAGCGTGATGGAAAATGTGTGTACGAAGTCAATACAAAACGACAGCAAACTAAAAATAATCGGATTTTCTATAGCCGACAATAAGTTACATTTCTTATGCCACTTCCTCTTAACACTCAGTTCATCACTCTGCCTTCTTATGGACCCCAGGGACCGCCCTTCGTCCCGTCCCCTATCCGGAGAACACCCGACCAGCCGCCCAGCCATCTGCCCGTCCCGCAGCGTCGCCGGCCGCACCTGGTGCGTCTTCAGGTAGGTGCTGTTGAACTCCTTGCCGCAGAACTCGCACTGCGTCATGGTCACAGCGACGGGCGCCGGCTGAGGCGGGTGTGAGCAGAGAACACGCCGGTTACGCGGGGGGAGAGGTCACAGACGAGCCTGCTCGCTAGGGTCACTTGGGACATTAGAACGGGCGTCTCGAGATGTCTGAGACCCTCGAACGAAGGCGGGAACGCGCCACAGAGGCGCTAGACGAATCCCCTACCGAAGTTTCGATCCGCTGGATTACACGGGGATACCGCGTCGGGAGGCCCGCAGTGTCGCCGCCCCGTACGGCCGATGCTGACGGGCCTAGTCCAACGAATGCTCGAGCCTGTGGTGGTTACGTGTCTGGCAACGGGGGAGACGATACGACCATGCTCAATATGTACGCTGAGGCTACAAGAAGGCGGCACACATTGCAGGAACGTAGGCGCTATAACCAAGACAAAAAAGTTAACAACGGTAAGACATCGCGCACTGTAACTTCACCCATCTTCCTGCCAACACAGTTATATCAAACGAAATGCACTTCGCGCATACGTCGGCCTGAGAGTTGGTACAATGATATGTGAACACTAGCACCATACGATAGCCAACGACACCAATGGCCAGGGGCCGTGCGCCAGAGCGCCGGTCGCGCCCCGCCGAGCGGCGGCGCGCCCTGTGCGCCTCACCTCCCTGTGCACCCTCTTGTGTATGCCGAGGCGCGCCTGCACCCGTAGACGGCGCCGCACACCTCGCACGCGTACCGCTCGCCCTGCGCCGCCGCCAACGCCCTCCGGCGCCGCAGACTCCACCTGCACGGCGGGCCGGGTAGGGGTCAGAGTCGGTCAGCTCCCTCATTCACCGCCTGAGGCCGGGTGCTTCCAAAGGGACGCGGCTCCCGTCTCCGCCAAAGGCAGATCAGGTCACGACAGCCAGAACCCGCGCCGTAACTGAGTCCGGCCGGGATCGACCTAGCCTGGACGAGACGGCACGGACGGAGCAGTGCCCTCACAAAGACGGCCCTGACACGGACCCGCGCCGTGCCTGGCACCGCGTGTACGCTTCGATCTCAGTTCACGTCCGGTCTGACACTCTAACATCAAGTCCCATGAGGTCAGAGCAGCGTGACGTCCAAGCCGGGACTCCGACAAGGGTCCAACGTCGACCCTCGCGTCAGACCAGGTCTGACCTTAGGTCAAGTCAGACCGGCGTGCCGCTGACCTTGGGCAGGGCGCCGTGCAGGCCGTGGGCGCGGTGCTCGTGGTCGCGGAATGCGCGCGCGGACCGACGACTCCCGGCCGAGCCGTTTGACCGGCGGCCGGAACTACGCAGACGGAGCACTGGAGCGCCTGCAGCCGCTCCTGCCGACGGAGAGAGACTGAGGGAACGCGACATTGGGAGCCGCTCCTGCCGATGGGAGGAGGCAGAGGGACACGACACTGGGAGCCGCCGGAGTCGGGAGCCGCTCCTGCGGACGGAGAGGGGCTGAGGGACGCGGCACCGGGGGTCGCCGGACGTCGGGAAGCCGCCCCTGCCGACGGGAGGAGGCAGAGGTACGCAGCACTGGTGGCCACCGGGGGTCGGGAGCCGCTCCTGCCCGACGGAGGGAGGCAGAGGGACGCGACACTGGGAGCCGCTCCTGCCGACGGGAGGAGGGCAGAGGGACACGACACTGGGAGCCGCCGGGGCCGTGGACCGCCCCTGCCGACGGAGAGGGGCTGAGGGATGCGATACTGGGGGGCCGCCGGGGCCGTGGGCCGCCCCTGCCGGCGGAGAAGGGCTGAGGGATGCGACGCTGGGAGCCGCCGGGGGTCGGGGCGGGCACCAGCATCGGACTCAGCTTGGGAGTGACTCCTAAGTATGAGCGTCAGATTCCAGGTCACTGTTGGAAGGCAACAACCGACGAATCAACAAATTAGATAACGACACTCTCCAGCTGAATGCAGGTTAAAGCAGTTGATCAAGAGTTATGTCCTTCATTGAAAAATTCAAGTTTTAAAAAATAACAAACACCATGAGAGACGTCCGAAAACCATACTCAAACACTAAAAGTTAGACAGGGAATATAAACACATTGGAAACAAAAGCTAAGGAGCTTTTTAGCCTTTTCTCGAATTTTTGCCTATGAAATGATTTAGACATGTTCTTCTAAACCAGTACTGCAGCAGTCACTTACACAATTTTCGCCCGCCTCATGTGCGCGCCTCCTTCACTAGGTGCTTATTAGCATCACCTTCCGGGCGAAGCCAGCGCCGCAAGTTTGGACACACGAACTTCCGAACTCCGTGTGCGTCCGCGAGATTGTCGGTAGTACTCGGCGAAGTCAAGGAACACGAGCCGTCGCAGAGTGGCGACACCGCTCGCCCGGCCCGTGAATCATGCGCCGGTGCGTCACCAGCGTGCTGCGGGCCCGGAAAGTCTTCTGGCAGATCGGTGCACCGTGTTGGAGCGAGGGTGGTGCGGTGCGCGGCGTGCCGGTTTGCGCCGCCAGGCCCGGCACGCGGTCCCGAACTGCAGCCCGCACGGTCGGCAGTGGGAGCGGGCCGCGGGGCGCCGGCGGCTGGTACTCAGCGTCACGAGCCGCCGTCGTCCGCCGCGGCGCCGCCCGCTGCCGCCCGTCTGCGTCCCTCGGACGGCGTCCTCGCCGCCGGCCTCGGCCCCCTGACGCGGCCGGCCCCGACCGACCGTCAGCGGGGTTCGTCGCCAGGCCCGCCTCGCCGGCCCGCCGCCGCCGCTCGGGCCGCCACGACCTTGCCCGCCCGGCGCCGGCGCGGCGCCCGGCTCCGTCTTCACCTGGACGAGGTCGAGCGGGTCAGGCCGGCGGCGACGTCCGACTGCCGGCAGACGGGCACCACCGGCCGGCGCTGGCGGTCGTCACAACGACGCGAGAGCTTCGCCGCAGGCCAGGGCGCTGGCTCTGGCTCTGGCTCTGGCTCCGGATCTGGCTCTGGCTCCGGCTCTGGATCTGGTTCTGGCTCTAGCTCCAGCTCCGGCTCTGGCCTCGCCGAGTTCGGCTTATGCCTCACAGGCGCTCTCTAAAACGGGACACGATCAGTCGTGAGAAGGCAGGCAGGCTGTTGGAGGCCAGACAAACTGCTGGAACAACGCAGCAAAGTGCAACAATCGTATTTCTTTAGCATTATTGATAATTCTCATCGTGCTGGAGAACCCCACCGTTTTACAGGCAACATTGACGTCATTTAAACACGCTTTAAGTGTATCAAAATATCTGCCTGGGCCATCTTCTTTGAAAACCATCCCAAATATCTGCAGGGCCATCCTATTTTGAAAACCATCTCACTAGTGAAGGACATCAAAGAGCCTAGATGGATTACCTGTGACAGTGATGTCTACAGATCCTGGAGTGTCTATATGCATGCAACCCTCATGTCTCTGAATGAGCTCAGTTCGGATTCGGTGACCTTAGCCTTCATAGCTCCGAAGATCACGCAAGAGTTGTGAGCACTTTGGACACAGGCACTGCTCCTCGTCCAAGCTGAAAACCGGACCCGGGGAATCATCAAGCATTGCATGGAACTGCATTCAGTGCATTTCTTAGATGGTAGCCTCATGTAACAACACATCATTCAGCATTCAATGCACATGATAGACATAAAATACAACAGCAAAATATAATCACACATATTCAGCACAGCCGAAGCTGACCAGTTCAGATCCAGATCCAGTATCCAAAGGAGTCCCTGATCAGCTTCCTTGGAGGACCACTCCTGTTGCCACTCTCCCAGCCTGGAACTAAGCTGGCTCTTGTGAAGCTTGCATCTGGTTCCACAGATACAGGCAGTTGAAGTTCATTTCTTCTTGGCTGCAAGGAGCAATGTAATGTGCATGAGTATCTCTATAGCTCAAGTCATACCCAGTTACAGAACATATGATGACAAATGCCTTAAGTTTACAGGATGCATGAAAGGACCAAAAGAGAACCACAGAAATCACTGGCTAATGAGTTGAGATAGATTAGCATATATCATGATTGCATGAGCCATTCCAGTGGCAGGGCTAGCATCCAGGAGGAAAGAAAGCAATGCTCTGGTAGGGCAAAGTCTTAGCCTGTGCACTGACCCAAGAAAACCACTGTAAAGAATGTGACAATGGGTGGAGACTGGATAATGTGGTGAGCAGTGGGCACTGGAGAATGTGGTGAGCAAGTCATAACATGCAAGATGGTCTGGCAGCATCCAACACCAGCTTTGCACAACTAAAATTTATTTTACCACTTTAGCTAGATTGGCCCACCCCAATCTGGGCCAATCTGGTCCTATCTGACCCTGCCTGGGTCATCCAGTTCCAGCTGCTCCCACCAGATCCAACCAGTGCAATCCATGCCATTTTTAATGGTTCATGAGCAGTCTGCATGTTATCAGGATACAGTGAGATCAAAGAATTCACCAGTCAACTTGAGGCACAATGGCTGCAATCAGCTTGCTGTGTCATGACCTTGCTAACATGTCAAGCAGCAGCAAACTGTTCAGGTTTCCATTATCTGAGCCACTGCTACAGGTAAACATGTACAATATCAGGTACCTATCTATCATGTATGGTACTGTGCATGCAAGGGTGCAGAAACCAAGAGGGCCATAGGGGCTGAGGTCCCTGACTTTCTGGGTAATATCATCTTGGCCCCATGAATATCACAAAAGAAGTAAAAAACAAATGAACTACTGCTCCCTCAAGCTTGGAAGATCCTATTTTAATCCCTTGCCTGCAGACACAAAAGCATCAATCTGTGTGATCCACTTATCTGAGGCATCTGTGGATATCCACACAAGCTTTTTTCGAGGTAAATTGTCCATTTCATTATGGGCCTCCACCAGTTGTGTCATAAAAGGTGCATGAGCTTCACAAAATATTCTGTGTAAGCAGGTTCCAGCTCACAATGTCAACCTGATGGTGGTGATAAACATTTCCATAATGGTATTTATAAAAAAAAGGATTTATCAAGGAAGACTTGCAGTGGTCTGTCACATGGTGTAAAGTAAATCAAGATGTGCTCTAAATTAAATTACCTCATCATAAATGTAAAAATTACCAACACTGATTTGAATTATACTTGCATAGTGTATCAGGGTATGTTGACAGAGTGGACATTTTGCACTGAGTCCAAATATCTGGCAAAAAAATTCACCATCATCATCATCACAATATGAGTTAAGTCACTACATTTTAGTGTGCCACCAAACACCAGTTAACAGTGTGGCTAGTTACATCATATATGAATGCTAGCACAGTGAGTAGTGAGTTAACTGACATTTAGACATATGTAAGCAACATTGCATTTGCCCAAGATGCTGCTGGGGTTATGAACAGTTATCACTGGGTCATGTACAAATGCTGTACTTTGGAACAAACTTGATGTAACAATATACCTCTTGTTGATAGTGCAGAATACGCAATTTTGTTGGTGACTCGAGCACAATTCTTGCCATCACAGAATCCCTTGCGGCACAGAAACACCAAAATTACCAATTTTCCAGACAGCGCATCTTGACCTATAACAAGCAAAATAACCCATAAATTAACTTATCACAGCGAACCCACGTTACCATTTCTAAGCTCAACCGTTCATGCCTATCAATAAGCCCCCAACCCACCCACAGTCCTCCCCGATTGACCCTGATGTAGCCAACAGCCCCTGGTCAACAGCACCAACAGTCAACAACGCCCAAATGCCTCAAGCGCGTCATTATTGCATGAAGGTGTTTTGGTGGTTCTTTTCCTACGGTTCGTTTTAGGAAGAAGGTTGCCCTCTTTTCGCTTGGCTTCAGCAGATGTAGTGTGCATTTTACAATGTATGATTCTCGAGGCCCATTATAATCTAGCTCGAATTTAGACTGTGTAGGCCGGTGATGTTGGTGAGGACATCTCCCGTACACTTTGCAGTGCTAGCTCGGCCAATGGCTAGTTTGGTTTGTCAATTATCATAGTTGTGCTTAGTTCACTAAAATTCCTTGTTTGAGGCACATTTAATACTATTATGTATACAAAGGTGTACAGAATGTTGACAGTGTAAACATGAAAGCCACATCAGTGGCGAGTGGCAGTACAAAGAACACTACTGTCATGGGTTTTAAATGTACACATTATCTGCTGAATGGTTGTAATAATGCATTCCTTGTTTCTAGTTTGATGACTTAAGCAATTTGGGCAGCTCGCTTTTTGGGTCCTGAAGGTGCAGTTTTCTAACAGGCCACCAGCCTATTAGCCTATTGTCACTTGGCAAAAAATATGCCTGAAAAATACGCCATGGATGGCACATGTATGGAACAGGCACATCAACAATGAGTAGGACAAGCACAATGACATCCGTATCATCCAGAATATATCACCAGGCAGTAAGCCCCCTAGAGGTAAGGCAGCTCTATTTTTGAAGATTTTATCTTAACCTTTTCAATGGATGGATTTCTGAGAGCAGAGCTTGTGCTTAGCAGTGCTTGTGCCAGTCCTGACCCCTATCACCTGACTGTGTAATTCCATGTCAGTAGCAGAATTTGAACGTGAAAGCTTAACATGTGATAATGCTCTGCAGGGGATCCACCCGCCCCCTGCCCTCTGACATCATCTTTACAGAGGTGGCGGGTGGCAGTCAGGCCATGCCTGTTGAGGACAAATAGGAAGCCCTGAAGCACTTCTACTCACCCTACCACTAAATGGATTAGAAAGCAGGCACTCTAATCAACTGAGCTATCAGGATTAGTAAAACAAACATACATAGAACCTCTTGCAAGGCACTGTGCAATGGATGTTTTTATATTATCAATATTCATATTGTTTTGTAGTCAGAGCATACTGTGTGCCTCTCTCACACCTGTATTTCTATGACAAATTGATTGACTGTTTATTCAACTACAAATAGACAGGTCTGGGATATTTACTGAAAGATGCTTGGAAACTGGCTTTTATAGCTCTTAGTGGGATAACTTCAAGCAAGGTTGTGTCTGACTACTAGTTCCGGCTATTTTCTTGTAGTATGATATACTGGTGCATAAATGACATATTATAAAAAGCTTGGAGAGCTGACCTGTTGTCAAGCTCAGTATGTGTGAGCAGTAGATCATGCTTCGCCTTTGCCCCCCCCCCCCAAGATGACCTGGATGGAGTGATAAGAATACTGCGGACATAAAAATACTTTGGACACAGTGTTATCATTGTGAGCACATCATATCATAAACCACAATGCAACATAGTGGATGGTAAAGTGAGCAACACATTTCAATGCCATTTTACAATCCTACCAGCCAAATCAATCTTGCAATGCTGTGATGATGAATCTTGCAATCTTGTAAAGTGATATTGAACTTTATCCATGTACTCTTTCCAAGTCCAAAAATTATGTTCTTTTCAAGGCACTGAAATTTTTTGGTTGATGTTCCCCATGTGGATGTGATTATACAAGCAAAGTTTGGTGGAGCAAGCTTCATTAGTGATTGGTCACATAATGCCTGCTGATCAGTGAACATCCAGCCTGTGATCACCCAGTAGCCATCAGTGAGTGCTGCCGTGCCCTGACTCTGACGGCGACTATGCACAGGTCTGGATCCAGGGCCAGTGGCGCCGGGCCTCGGCCGCGCTGGACGGCGATTGCCTCGCCGTGACCCTGCACGACCCGGAGGAGGCGGACGAGGCGTCCGCGGCCGCCGACGACGACGCCGTCCGCACGGTGACGGTGACCAAGCGGCCCGACCAGGGCCTTGGCGTCTCGGTCAAGGGCGGCGCCGAGAACGCCATGCCGGTCATCATCTCCAGGATCTTTCAGGTGGGTGGCGGCGGTCCGGACGCTCCGTGTCGTCGGCGCCGTCACTGTCGCCCGCCGCCGCTCTGGATCAAACGCGGTGACCCCGGGGTTCTGTAGCTCGGGGTTCTGTAGCTCCGCCTGGAGAGCAGCGCAGGACACGTATCCGCTGAGAAGCACACTGACGGTCGCAGACGATCCCGCGTCCCAGAAAGTGTGTTTGTGTGTTTGTATTTGAAGGTCAGTCAGCCGACCTGGAGAGTCCGGGTGGCGTATGGCGGTCATGCCAGGGCGTTGCAAATTTTCTGTCGAAAATGGTGCGGTGAGCTGGCTCAACTGAGGTGGCAGTCAAGGCTCATGCTTTGAAATAATTTGAATCACAGAACTCTGGGGTCATATGACCATAAAAGTCTGGCGCACCCCAGAATCCAAACGGTCATCATCAGCATAATCACGTGATGAATCACATGATGAACCACATAACCCCGACCGGCCCTGGCGCCTCCGGCAGGGGATGGCGGCGGACCGGTGCGGCGCGCTGCGCGTGGGCGACGCCATCCTGACGGTCAACGGCGAGGACGTGCGGGGCGCCACGCACGCCGCCGCCGTCCAGCTGCTCAAGACGCCCTGCGCCGAGCTGGTGCTCGAAGGTCGGTGCCGTCCGCGCTCCGGCCGACCACGGGCCAGGCAGCCGCAGGAATACTCCCTGCCGATCTCACGCGACGCTTTCAGTGTTCAACATGCGTAAAATGGCCAGGGTTACGTGCCGGTTTTTTTGTTCTTTTTTTGAGTACCGGATCTTCCAGCGAAGTTAAGATGTATTTTCATTTGACTGGTCGCCATGCATTCTCCCAGGTCGAGGATGACGATCGGTTCGCACCTGTTCGCTCTGTGATCTGTCTGTCAGCGGTGCGTCCAGCCGTCTGGGCCTGTCGGCGCCGCTGTGGACACCGCCGCCTCGCTGCTCCGCAGTCCAGTACCTGGCAGAAGTGACCCAGCACCTGCGCAGGGCGGCGCTGCTCAGTCAGCTGGGCTGGCCGCCGGCGCCTCTCTACCTGGCGCCGCAGGGCGAGGATGTGTCGGCCACCGCCGCCGCTGACGCCGCTGACGCCGCTGACGCTGAGACGCGACTGATCCCGCTCCAGCTCTGTCGGCTCACGCGCTTCTACAGGTGCCAAGGTCAGCAGGTGGCGCTTATTGGCCTGGTCTGGCGGATCCTGTATGACTCGACGCGACCCCGTGATGCGTTGTGACCTTTTCATGACCCACCCGGTGTCTCCCGTGACCCGGTGTCTCCCGCGAGCCGGTGTCTCCTGTGACCCGGTGTCTCCCGCGACCCGGTGTCTCCTGTGACCCGGTGTCTCCCGCGACCCCGGTATCTCCCGTGACCCGGTCGTCTCCCGCGACCAGGTGTTCTCCCGCGACCCGGTGTCTCCCGTGACCCGGTGTCTCCCGTGACCCGGTGTCTCCCGTTGACCCGGTGTCTCCCGCGACCCGGTGTCTCCCGTGACCCGGTATCTCCCGTGACCCGGTGTCTCCCGTGACCCGGTTGTCTCCCGCGACCCGGTTGTCTCCCGTGACCCGGTGTCTCCCGCGACCCGGTGTCCCCCGTTACCCGGTGTTCTCCCGTGACCCGGTAACCTCACGTAACCCGGTGTCTCCCGTGACCCGGTGTCTCCCGTGACCCGCTGTTTCCCGTGACCCGGTGTCTCCCGTGACCCGGTAACTCCAGTGACCCGGTGTCTCCCGTGACCCGGTGACTCCCGTGACCCGGTGTCTCCCGTGACCCGGTGTCTCCTATGACCCGGTGTCTCCCGTGACCCGTTGTCTCCCGTGACCCGGTATCTCCCGTGACCCGGTGTCTCCCGCAACCCGGCGCGGCCCGTGACCGTGCGCCGATGGCCGGCAGAGCCGCTGAGTCTGGAGCTGTACTCACCGGACCTGCGCCGCTGCTGCCGGCTGCGCTGCCGCGACGCCGGGCAGGCCGCCGGCTGGTTCTCCACGCTGGGCTCCACGCTGAGCGCGCTCACGCAGCAGGTCAGCCCGCTCGGCCGGGGCGGGGTGGTCCGGGTCCTCAGGCGAGCGCCGCGCCACCGGCGATACAGGGCTGGCCGCGACGCTGCTGTTGATTGTCCGTTGGTTGGCGCCATCGTGCTGAAGCATCGTTTGTAGTTGACGGGTTTAGAGAAGGACACACCGGCTCGTGTCAGATCCAGCTTTATGACATCTGGATGTGAGAGGCGTCTTGCTGTCGACCTTCCCGTCATGCAGCAGCTCCGGCCATGCGCGGGCCGGCTGTATGTGGACGACATCGGCGACTTGGCGCTGACGGCGACCGCGCTCTTGTGCGGCGCAGGCGGTGGAGGCGACGAACGAGAGGGCCCGCGACGTCCTGGACGACAGCCCGGTCCTCCAGATGGGCTGGGTCAGCGTCAGGCAGGCCGAACAGGTCAGTTCCCGCTCTTACCTGCTGATCCTGGCCAGGGGGTGCAATTACGAATAGCGCAGCAACGTGGTATAGAAAAACAGCTGGTATCTTGGTCGTTGTCAATGGCACGGCAAGCACTGCACCATTGCAAAAAAAAGTCATTATCAGTGACGAAAGTTCCACCGCGCGGGTGTCCGTAGGATGCGCCGTCAGCTCTTGTGGCCCTCCTGACCGGCGACCCTCTAACCCGGGACCACCAGTGGGTCCGTCAGCTCTTGTGGGCCCCCCTGACCAATGACCCTCTGACCCAGGACCACCGGTAGGTCCGTCAGCTCCGGTCGGTCCTCCTGACCAGTGACCCTCTGACCCAGGACCACCGGTAGGTCCGTCAGCTCCGGTCGGTCCTCCTGACCGGTGACCCTCTGACCCAGGACCACCGGTGGGTCCGTCAGCTCCGGTCGGTCCTCCTGACCGATGACCCTCTGACCCAGGACCACCGGTGGGTCCGTCAGCTCCGGTCGGTCCTCCTGACCGGTGACCCTCTGACCCAGGACCACCGGTGGGTCCGTCAGCTCCGGTCGGTCCTCCTGACCGGTGACCCTCTGACCCAGGACCACCGGTGGGTCCGTCAGCTCCGGTCGGTCCTCCTAACCGATGACCCTCTGACCCAGGACCACCGGTGGGTCCGTCGGCTCTGGTCGGTCCTCCTGACCGGTGACCCTCTGACCCAGGACCACCGGTGGGTCCGCCAGCTCCGGTCGGTCCTCCTGACCGGTGACCCTCTGACCCAGGACCACCGGTGGGTCCGTCAGCTCCGGTCGGTCCTCCTGACCGGTGACCCTCTGACCCAGGACCACCGGTGGGTCCGTCAGCTCCGGTCGGTCCTCCTGACCGATGACCCTCTGACCCAGGACCACCGGTGGGTCCGTCGGCTCTGGTCGGTCCTCCTGACCGGTGACCCTCTGACCCAGGACCACCGGTGGGTCCGCCAGCTCCGGTCGGTCCTCCTGACCGGTGACCCTCTGACCCAGGACCACCGGTGGGTCCGTCGGCTCTGGTCGGTCCTCCTGACCGGTGACCCTCTGACCCAGGACCACCGGTGGGTCCGCCAGCTCCGGTCGGTCCTCCTGACCGGTGACCCTCTGACCCAGGACCACCGGTGGGTCCGTCAGCTCCGGTCGGTCCTCCTGACCGGTGACCCTCTGACCCAGGACCACCGGTGGGTCCGCCAGCTCCGGTCGGTCCTCCTGACCGGTGACCCTCTGACCCAGGACCACCGGTGGGTCCGTCAGCTCCGGTCGGTCCTCCTGACCGGTGACCCTCTGACCCAGGACCAGTGCGTGGACAGCCGGCCCTGGGAGCCGCGCTTCGCCGCCATCACCGAGCGCGAGCTGCTGCTGTTCGCCAGGGCGCCGTGGACGCGCGACGACTGGGCCCGGCCGCGCACCGCCCTGCCCATCGCTATGACCAGGTGACCGGCCGCTGCGTCTTCTTCCCGTCCTTCTTCTTCCCCGTCCCTGGCCTGGCGTGACTCTGCACGCGCGCGACACCCTGGGGACGAGCGCCCCGTTGTGCGGACTGCTACCATGTGTGTGCGATTTGGCCGTTGGTGTGTGTTTGGTTGTTGGGTGAAACGCACAGAACCAACGTGCAGTGTCGTGGGTGAGTAAGCGCGATTGTTTACCCGCCTTAACCGCGCGTGTCGCCATCTGTGTGTGCGGGCAGGCTGGTGAGGTACCGGCTATCGCCGCCGGAGGCGCCACCGTCGGCGCCGATCACCTTCACCACGCGCACGGGCACGCAGCGCGGCGTGGCGTCGGTGCAGTGGCGCGTGGGGACGCCGCGCGAGCTGGCCAGCTGGAGCCGCACCGTGGTGCTGGCAGCGCAGGCTGCCGTCGCCCAGGTGGACGAGATCGTGTTCGGTGAGCGGGCGGGGGCGTGAAGCGGGCCGGCGGGAGAAAGGAGGGGCACTGGGGTCGGAGACAGGTCGCAAGAAAGGAAAAATGGGCGAAAGTGGTGTGTCCCTCGCACTGCTGCCGTCGACAGAGCGCCGCTGGCGGAACTGTCCAGTGCTGCTGTGATGCTATGATGTGGCTGACGTGTCCCTCTCGCCGCCGCCGTCGACAGAGTGCCGCTGGCGGGACTGTCCGGTGCTGCTGTGATGCTGTGATGCGGCTGACGTGTCCCTCTCACCGCTGCCGTCGACAAAGCGCCGCTGGCGGGACTGTCCGGTGCTGCTGTGATGCTGTGATGTGGCTGACGTGTCCCTCTCGCCGCTGCCGTCGACAGAGTGCCGCTGGCGGGACTGTCCGGTGCTGCTGTGATGCTGTGATGTGGCTGACGTGTCCCTCTCGCCGCTGCCGTCGACAGAGTGCCGCTGGCGGGACTGTCCGGTGCTGCTGTCGATGCTGTGATGCGGCTGACGTGTCCCTCTCACCGCTGCCGTCGACAAAGCGCCGCTGGTGGAACTGTCCAGTGCTGCTATGATGCTGTGATGTGGCTGACGTGTCCCTCTCACCGCTGCCGCCTGCAGAGTGCCGCTGGCGGAACTGTCCGGTGCTTCTGTCGATGCAGCACGAGAACGGCCTGACTCTGCGCTCGGCGCCCGGCCTCGCGCGGGGCAAGGTGCTCTGGCACTACAGCTTCGACAAGCTGACCGACACCTGGGACGACGACCGCGCCACCGTCCGGCTCACATTCGGCGACCGTGAGATCATGGTGCGTGGCCGCCGGGCGCGGACGGCAGACGCCCCGCAGGCCGGGGGACAGGGCGGGGGGTTGGGGTGATGTCCCGGTCCGGGGGGGTGATCTGTGACCCCGGTCGATCAGGTCAGTCGGACGGAGGGTTGAGGTGTGCTAATGATGTGGATACGATGATAAACTACTCGTGATGTCAGAGGTGATGGCAGGGACGCATACATGAACGCTGATCGGGACTTCCGATGTCTCCGTCTATGATTTTCCTGTAGTTCGACACAGCTGCCTGTGACGGAGGCAGTTAGCTTCAAGACCGTTTCACGCGTCGATGGCGTGTTGGACCGCTGACGCCATCGGAGTGACTGCAGCGCGCGCCGCCGTTCCAGGAGCTGGACATGGGTGCGTCGCCGAAGCCGTTCGTGTTCGCGCTGCACACCTGCCTGTCTTCGAAGGTGGAGCGGTTGGCGACCTCCTGAGGCGCCGCGGCCGCCGTCCCGGCCGCGGCCGCGTGCACGGCCGGGACATTGTGACGCATCTGGAGCGGCGACGCCCAGCTGGAGCGGGCGGAGCCGGCGGTCGTCTGCTGTGACGCGCGTGGCGGATGATCTACCCGGCCACTGTCGCCTTACGACACCTCTGCACGAGACGGCCAGCTGTTATTGACGTGGTTACTCGCTCATTGGTTTTGCGATCCTGTGTCGGATCAAGATTTGGGGAGTGCCGAGCGTTCCGAGCGCGGCACGGTCTGCTGCTTTGCGTGCGGGTTGCGTCGGGTCCGCTCGCGCCTGCTTGCCATCCCTTTGTTGCTGTTAAGGAGTACCCCAGGGTCGTGCTCTCGTCCGCCGGTGTGGTGACCGTGCGATGGGTGTCGCTCTCAGGGCTTTGGAACGCACGGTACAACGGCTCCTCTAGTCACGCGTCCCCTGAGTTCCCATGTTGATGTACCGCCCGGTGTTGAGGTTAGGAGCCTGCCAACGCACGCTTGCCAAAGGACGGCCAGCGGTGGTAGCAATAGCTGTAACGATCTGGTGGTTTTGAATATTGTGCGCTCGGCTTTCCGAGGGCGTGTTATCTGGTGCCTCTCTACCCGTGACGGCTCCTCTAGTCACGCGTCCCCAGCTGAGCTCGCATGTTGATGTACCGCCCGGTGTTGAGGTTGGGAGCCTGTCAACGCACGCTCACCGAAGGACGGCCAGCGGTTGTATTGGTAGCTATAGCTGTAACGATGTGGTGATTTGAAACGTGCACTCGCTTTTCCGTGGCCATGCTGTCTGGTGCTTCCGTACACCCTGTGCTCTCGCGGAGTGGCCTGGCTGGCCCGAGCTGCCTACAGCTCCAGCTGCCGAGGTTAGCTGTGAAGAAGGTCTGGCAAAGATCTGCTCAATTGTGGTTCTCAGTTATCGAGCAACTTTGGTAAAACGTAATCAAGCCACGCTGCCTGCTCGCGTCAGAACCCGGTGCGTGTCCGACGTCATCTAATGGCGTCACACCTGACGTCATGTATCTATCTAATGACGTGACACGCGTCAGGCGCATTCAGAGCGTGTTGGCCCTGCGGCGCTGTTTGCGAAAGACACGCGCCACGCATACGTCGGCACCGCGTCGGACAGGCGCTTGGTGGCTCGTCGCGAGCCGTATTGGTTGGTTTAGCTTGTTGAAGGGCTCGTCCCGAGCGGTTTTAGAGCGGCGTAGCCGCGTCGTCGATTGTACACGGTGGCTTCCATACGGGTGAACCACCCGTGAGCTTCCTTTTTGCGATTTTGCCGGCGGAACCCGAAAGGGCGCCTCGAGGCCTTGCGAGTTGTTTTCCAAGTGGACTGAGCATCCATAAGCTTGCCAGTGTTCTGGCGTTATTTGTGTGTTGAGTTGATGAGGTTCCGACGCTAGATAGTCCTCGCCGTTCGCGCGGGAGCCTAGTAGTCAGTTTGTTTGCGGACTAACGGTCCGTGCTGCCGCTGCTGTTGTGGGCTGGGCTGGTCCCCAAGCGCCTCGCCCTCTGCCGTCCGCTGCAGCGGAGTGTGGCAGGGAAGCGGTGCCGTCCCTGCTGGCGGCGGCGTGACCCGTGGCTTACCCAGGCTCGAGCTGGTCTCGCCTGCGGGCCGCAGCTCTTTCGCGGGCCTGTGGCGCTTCGTCGCGCCTGGCGGCTTTTCTACGCCGGTGTCTGCCGTGGTTTGTTCGGCGCGTTGTCCGGCACGGCCTTTACTCAGTGCCTTACTGCGCAGGTGGGATTGTTCGACCCAACCGGCCTGTGCCGTCGGGTCAATTCGCGATTTACACGAAACTACCCAAAATAACTTCGTATGCCAGCACGCTTCTCTGCTGTAATTATCCTTGTGCTATTTTTAACCTCCGTCTTTGACCGTTTAGGAGCAGTTGCGGCTCTGTTCACTCTTGCTGCGTTTGGTCTGATGCGGCGTGTCGCAAAGACGATGTCCCGGCATCTACATCGGAGTCGGGCAATTGACTATCGTTGTTGCCTGTCAGTGTTTATTGCAAACCCATTGGGTTAGATCTGCCGAGATGGAACATCCCGCGGTTGTAAGCCCATGATTGTCGGCCTAGTCATGGTTGTACCTGTGAGTCACTGACGTTGATACTAAACGAGATCTTGCTTTTGCGTTTGCACATTTACCTTTGGCTGTGTCCCGTGCCAACTGAAGCGTTGTTTCTCCTTGTGGACTGAAAATACAATTGCTTGGATCCGGTTGTGGGAATGAACTGGGGTCAAAGAACACCATTCCGCGGGGTGCCGCGGCACCCGAGGGCGCTTGCACGACGCGGAGGACGACGATGAGAGGGGGAGAGGACGCTCGCACGCCGCAAAGGACGAGGACAAGAGAACGCTTGCACGCCGCAGAGGACGAGAGAAGAGGACGCACGCCGCACAGAACGAGGACAAGAGGAGAGGACGCGTGCCCGACGCAGAAAACGAGGACGAGAGGAAAGAATGTTTGCACGCGGTATAGCGGGGCTCGCCGGCACTTCGGCAATGTTACGCGTCCAGTCAGGATCCGCGCCAGCGAGGCTTGTTGTAACGGCCCTGCTGCAAACCGCGAGTGAAGCGGCGCCGTCTAGTCAAATCGAGACGCCGATGAACAATGCGTAGCACAACCATTCGTACTACGAAGTGCAGCTCAAAGTCGTATTGAGTCCGCAAATCAAAGCTGGTGCCGCGTCCGCGAATCAAAGCCGGCGCCGTGTGCACGCGAGTCTGCTTCCACAGACCCCTCCTCCCTGTGTCCTACGCATCCCGCAGCGGATCGGACCGCGGGCCCGTCCCTGTACGGGCTGGCGCTTTTCGCTCGGTGGCGGCCGCACCGTAAAGCAAGACTGGCGGGCTCCAGGAACCGGGCAAGAGAATTTGCAAGGGAAGGTCAGCTGATTGACACACCGATTGAAGAAGTTATCTATCTACGAGCAATGCAGTCGTCAGGGATTTCGGACAGGCACGCATACCAAGCTAAGGTCAATGCCTGGTTACGGACTACGGTAGCGAACATACCGTGCTTTAAAGGCATAACATGTGGCAATTTTAATGTGCCGAATGTGGTCCTGCTGAAAATGTTAAAAAGTATTCAATCGCTGTAGTGTATTGAATGGGGTGAACTATGGCCTATATCGAAAAAAATGTTTAAACTAAGCCGGCGGATGTCTTTTTTGCGGTCCGAATTATGAAATCGTGTTGCCGTTCCTAATCCTTATCAGCTGGCGCCACCAGTACCACCCCGCGCGGCACTCGCACAGCGGTGTCAACAGCAGCGGCGCCAGGCCAGAGCGGTTCTTCTTATCGTTGACGTCACCGGAAAGAGCGCCAAACTCGTCTTTGGCCACCTGCCTGCCCATCCGACCGCGTCTGGGAGCGACGGACCAAGCCGCCATTGCTTGGAGACCACGCGGACAGCCGATTGGCGCACCAGAAAGGCTCGGTTCTGATGCCTGGCGGAGACGAGGGACGGTGGGGGGGGGGGGGGGGGGGGAGACGTAATGATTGCGACACCTGCATACGTATGCACTGAAATGCGATATCTTCGGCACGTGGAAGTCTGTGCGACTTATCTCAAGTAAACCTGCGATATCTTGAGATCTCAGCCCGCGGAAGGAACGCCACGTGCAGTGCTGGCTGCCGCACCGCCAAACGTCGAGGCGTTTGACAGCTGGCCGTTCACCCGGAGCGGAGCGCGCGGCGCACATTGAGTTTGTTTATTGTCGTTTTCCACACTCATGCATGTACAAACACGAACGCGCCACAGATATCCCACAGCGCCGACACTGGAAAAAAATATTTGCCGCGGTGCTGGTGTGCGTGCATGGTGTCATACAAAGCACCGGCTCCACGAGAGCAGTTCAGGCCTGGTCCTTCGATTGCACCTTCTTAATTCACCCAGCAGCCACGACATCGACTAGCGCCTTCCGCCCCGCAGCCGCGCTGCACCACAGCGCTCGCAGGAATGCAGTGCTCGCCCGGGTGCCTCCCTCCCACCGCGAGCCAGCGACGTCCCGTACCGGCGGCGGCGCCGGCGTCCGGCGCCTCTCCTCCCCGCCGGCGGCCTGCCCCGCTGCAGGGCTGCGCTGCGTGCGGCGGCGCCGCGGTCGGCGGGCAGTGCCTACGCCCCGTAGTACCGGTACAGCAGAGCCGCCAGCAGCACCGCGCCCAGCGGCAGCAGCCACGTCACCAGGCTGCAACAGGCGGCGGCGGGTGACGTCACCGGGACCTGCCTGCTGGGTGACGTCACCGGGACCCGCCTGCTGGGTGACGTCACCGGGACGCTGAACTCGCCGTCATGAGGCGCTGCTCCTCTCAGCGGCGAACATAGAGCGGGTCACATCCGGGGAGAACGCAAGGTTTTAGGTAGGTTCGACCGAACCCATGGCCCTCTGAGGTGATCAGGCGAAGCCGCGCCGTTGGGTCCGAGCTGACGACGGCAGAAGAGGCGACAGCAAAATGATGCAGGTCACCACAGACAATCCACTCATTCCCGGCAAACACGTGCAAGGCCAACTTAGCCGCGTGCAGACAATGATGTTCCCTTGTGGTGTCGCCTACTTCGGCGGCACAGATACCCCATATCGATACTTTACAAGACAACTATGCGTTCAACCCACGCGTTCCATGACGTGCGGGTGCAGTGGTTTCGTCAAGGCGGGTCGGCACGATTAGGAGTTTTTGTGCTTGGTGCCTCGCGGGCGCCCCGGAGGCCGTTCAGCCGCGGACGCGTGTACAAACACGCCGGCGGGCGGTCATCAGCGCCAGACGGCGGCCTGATCAGGGACAGCTGGTCCGGCCACCTGACCAGCCCGCTCGGCCGATTACCGAGAGCGACTCCGGCCGGGCGGCGGTCCGCGGGGCCGGCCGGCCGGTCACCTACCGCGGCCACCGACAAGGAGAGGCGAGGAGAGGAGAGGACCGGACGGGACGGCGGCGGGCCGGCCAGTCACCTACCGCGGCCACCGGCGGAGAGAGGCGAGGAGAGGAGAG